TTGTCTTCTTGAAACTTCTGTGTGTAACTAAATTTTACATATATTTAAATTAGATATTATAAATATATAGAATAGAAGCAATGATTAACCACCCCCCAAAATTGTCTATATTTTCCATCCCAGTATCTGATGTTTTTTTCCACCTTCCTTTGGGAACTCTCTCCTGATGTCCTCCTTAGAGCCATGAGGAGCTCAGGCCCACAGGAGGATAGATGGAAACTTGGGCCAGCAGAGAGTCCCCTGGGGGAAGAGGAAGGAAATCTGTCTTCTAGTCTTGAGGAGTAGGATAGCAAGTGAAAGTTACTTCCAGGAGGGTGGTGGCTAAAAGTCCAAAGGAAAAGCGGTAGGTTTCTCAATACAACCCTTGGGAAATAACTTGCTATTTTCAGGAGCTAAATAAGGAAGGAGCTCAGGAGAAAGTGGTGCAAAGACCAGTCACAGCTTTCCCTTGACTGTGAGTTGGCTGGACCTGAACTTCCCAACCAAGAATTGACCGCTGCAGAGAACAGGACCTAGACCTCTGTAGACAGCTTCCCGGTGGGTAAGCACAATCCAGAGAAGGGATCAAAGACACGGAAGTGATCTATAGGTTCCAGAAGCTACATTTTTCCTTTGGTTCATCCGGGTCTAATCTTTAGAGATTGAGTCAAAAGTACAGAGAAACAATTCATTGTAAATTAACCTGGGCTATGAGACGAAAAGGAGAAAGCCCGAGTTGATGAGCTTCCTTGCCTAGTATCTCCATCACACATTTCGGCCTGAATGGGTCTCTTGTTTTTGTTTCGTGGTTAAGCAACCTACCTTTGTGATTTAGACCCTGTATTACCAGTGGGTCTCTTCCGTGGATTACACTCATGCTAAAGAAACTATTCATACAGTTGGGATAGAAAGACATCTTATCACCAGGGTTATATAGAAACAAAACTGTGGGTCTGTGTTGTCTAAAAGGGGGCAAAGAAAGGAGGAGACAAATAGGTGAGGCACAGATACCATGTGTTTTCCAGAGGCCAGACATTCTAACATTTATTTCGCCTTCTGTGTACACACAGACATATGCACTATGCACACATGCACGCATGCCATTTACTTAATACATAAGGTAGCTATTACTTTTACAATTTCTCAGTCTAGGAAACTAATAAACATGGATGGCAAGAGATTATATTGCCTAAAATCATAAAGTTGGGAATATTAAAGTTTATATTTGAACCTATATTGGTCTTGCTTCTAATTCATGTTTATTTGATCAAAACAAAAAACTATTCCTGGAGTCTCAAATTCACTTTCAGAATGTCTCTCCCAGGATGTGTCAGAATGTCGCCAGTGTTCGAGTAAGCATTCTCTTTAGTAGATTGATATAGGAAATATTTCTCTGGAGTTCAAACCGTGCCATTTCTCTGGAGTTCAAACTATGCTCTGACAAACAAATGTTTGCGTGTGTAGTGAGTAGCCACTCCCAATATTGGGTTTACCCCAATACTGACTAATTACATCCCCTTTCTACTTTAAGGTTGTAATCCATCACAATATTTTAACAGAATGCTTCAAACATTCTTCTTGATATGTGATAAATTCACTCATTGACTAGTGCTCCCCTTAAATCCCCACCCATTCTATAATTCCTGGACTTTGGATGCATCTTCTAAGATGTTATATATTACAAACACTTGTACAGTGAAACGACGGCAATGTGTACAGTGTATTTTTGGTTCGTTCCGCACAGTTCACACTGAGAATTCAGGAAAGGGAAGCTGCTGCCAGGTGAGGAGGGTTTCAAATATATGTAATGCATTGTTATACTAATCCTTTGTAGTATGCATTCTCCCCATTTTACACGTGAAAGACTGATACTTCAAGAGGTTAAATGACTTGCCCAAGCTCACAGAATAACAGACCTGAAATGGGACAACTTAATTTGTTAGACCCCAAAGTTAGTCCCCTGAATTTCTCAGCAGTGCGGCCTCCCAAGACCACTATCTCTTTGCCATGTGGTCTGATAGATTCCACATAACCTTACATTGGACCCCTCAGGAAGTGATTGCACCGCTGTTACCACTTACTTCCATAGAAAAGCACCTACTTCATAGAAATGCTGCAGAAGAACAGGTGAGTGTGAATGTTAGAAAATAAAATTAATTTAAAAAATTTTTTTAATTTACAAATCTTAAATTTTTTTAAAAGTAGCTAGTCACTGCTTACCAAGAAGTAAGAAAACATAAAAACTTAAATGTGTGCTGGAGCCTGAATTAGAGGCCTCATGGTTAGGCATTGGGCTGCGATCAGCATGGTCAGCAGTTCGAAATCACCAGCAACAACCCTGGAGAAAGGCTAGTTTTTCTTCTCCTGTGAACAGTTACAGTCTCAGAAACCCACAGGGAGTCGCTAGGGGTCAGCAGTGCATTTGGGGTATTTTTGTTCGGTTGGTTAGTTGGGTTTGCGTTTTGAGTCCACAAAAGGCATCTCCTATGCTTATCTGCTTTGAAAATGAAATTACTGCTTATTTAGATGACAAACTGTTTGAAATGTGGATGGGCTTGTTTAAGACGATATGGGGGGGGGTTGTAATTATGTTCTCTTCCCTCCTTCAAGATCCACTGTGGGATAGACTAGAGAGGCCATTGATCGAGGATCTGCTATGAAGAATGGGGGAAATGTGCATGGTAAACACTCAGGAAGTGGGAAAGCAACAGCATCCCCCCTGAGACCCATAGCTATCTAACCAACAGGTGAAAAATGTTTGGGACACAGACTAAAACTTTGTAAATCTAAAAAAAATCTGCATAAAGAAAGTTAGGGTGGCAAGTGTAGGTTCTGAGGCTTGCTCCTTCTGGTGGGAAGCAGCTGGGAAGGATGGGGAAGGCAGATGGGATGCAGAGCAGGGTCCGAATCTGTCTGTGTACTTTCCAACTTGAACCTTGAGGGAGTGGAGTCGCAGGCGTCACTAGATCCTTAGTTGGAGGTCTCTGAAGGGCCACGGAGCAAAAAGAGGAAGCTGCTCCTCCCCTCCCCCTCCCCATCAACCCTTTTCATCTCTTTAAACCATAGAAACCAAGAAGGGTTAGTTAATAAGACGTTTTTGTTGACCTTTGAATAGCAATTCTTTCTTTCGAATTCCTGTTATCAAATAATTGGCAAAATACTCAGAAAGAGTTTCTCATAAACAATGTGTTTCTTATATGGTTTATCTCAAATTATTTGCAATTCTCAAATTCTCAGTCAAAAAATAAAATTAAAAATTAATAGTATAACCTTTCCTTACAGTAAACTTTTCTTAAGGAACTCCATTTATTCCTCTCATTCTGTTTGTCTGTGAAATTTGGATGATCTTAAATAAAAGACCCTTTCGTTGAGACAGTGAGATCCATGCCACAGGTGATGAACTTTGAAGAAGTCTATTTGATTTGACCATTTTCGTAATGAGCTGTGAGTCCTTTTGGAAAGTGGGAAATTGTACTTCACTACCGTGATAGTTCAGGAGGCCTGGAAATGTAGTGGTCATGTGTTGGGCTAATAACTCTAAGGTCAGCAGTTTGAAACCACCAGCTTCTCCAAGGGAGAAAGATGGGACTTTCTACTCCTGTAAAGAGTGACAGTTTTAGAAACCCCATCCTATAGGGTAGGTGCAACATAAATTGGTTTCGATTCAATGACAGTGAGGTGATGTAGTCATTTAGACTTTTGAGTACTAACAGCAAGGTCAGAAGTTCAACCCCAGTAATCTCTCCTCAGGAGAAAGATGGGGCTGTCTCCTCCCATACAGACGTACAGCCTTGGAGACCTTGGGGAGTGGTTCTATGGTGATCTATAAGTAAGAATTGACTCACTGGCAGTTGATTTTTGGTTCTGGTAACATGAGCTTTCAGGGGTGCGGGTGGTTAGGGGTTGTGTCTGGCTGATAACTGAAAGTCAGTGGTTCTAACCCGTCAGTGTAAAAAGAAAGATGCAGTAGCAGTCTGCTTCTGAAAAGATTCACTGCTTTGAAACTCTCTGGGGCTAGTCTTTGTCACTGTGAATCAGAATTCACTGGATGACAATGGCTTTGGTTTTAGGGTTTTACCATTTTCCTCAGTAAATTGCCCCTTTATTTATGTTTTTGTACTGGATTTTGTTATTTATAACCCTTGATAGGTACTAAATGAAAAAAATATGTGCATGTATGAAAACGTAAGAAAGGTAAAAGCACCAATAATCACATCTACCCCAAATCAATGCACAATGACTAGGTTTGAATCTTTCCAGAATTTTTCTATTTAAGGATGTGCATGTATCTATATGACACATACATTTAAGGATGTGCGTGTATCTATAGGACAAATACGTTCATTTTTAATGGAATTATACCACCTCCTCACTTACCATATGATGTGAACATTATTCCAGGCAATTGAAAAGCTCTGAAAATGATATCAGTATAATAACTATAATTCCTTGAATGGGTGTAATAGAATGAAGCAATTGGGTTTTTTTAACATATACTGTTTCCAATTTTCTCTTAGTATAAAAATCTGTAATTTCATCTAGCTCATAATTTTTTGTTATCAATGTTACTTTTATTGTTATTGATATGGTGATAAAGTATATACAGACCCTGGTATGAGTATGAGTATATTACATGGATTTGCATTTAGTCATTGCACATAAAACTCTTACATATTTCCCTTATCTTTTAGGAAAAACTTCCCGAGGCAAATTGACCAAGCAGATGGGCATGCATATTTTGGGGGACTTCTGCAGTATAATAGAACAATTTTACAGTTGAAATAATGAGTATGCCTGTTTCTAAGCTAACAAGGGGTGAGATATCATGTAGTTTCTTTCTTAAATATTTAAAGTCTTGATTTTCAAGTTGGCATTCAGAAGTCTTCTTTATTTTAGGTTCCATCAGTTTCCTGGGATGAAAATGAAAAGCTAGTCTACAGTTACCACAGGCAGTATCTCACACAGAGGTCAAAGTCTAAAACAGCAGACTCCTGCTTACTGGATATCCCATATTCTCAAACATGTTTACCTTTTATAATGCCTGCTTGACACCTACCTCTTTCTGGCTAACTGGCATCCCAGGGCTGGAGTCCCTGCACATCTGGCTCTCCATCCCATTTGGCTCCATGTATCTGGTGGCTGTGGTGGGGAATGTGATCATCCTGGCAGTAGTGAGGATGGACCACAGTTTACATCAACCCATGTATTTCTTTCTGTGCATGTTGGCTATCATTGACTTGGTCCTGTCAACTTCTACAATGCCCAAACTGCTGGCTATCTTCTGGTTCGGTGCCTCCAACATTGGCCTGAATGCTTGCTTGGCCCAGATGTTTTTTATCCACTGCTTTGCCACTGTTGAGTCAGGGGTCTTCCTTGCCATGGCTTTTGATCGCTATGTGGCTATCTGTGACCCACTACGCCACACCTCAGTGCTCACCCATGAAGTAGTAGCCTATTTGGGACTGGCTGCCCTCCTCCGCGGCGTACTTTACATTGGACCACTGCCTCTGTTGATCCACCTGAGGCTGCCCCTTTACAGGACCCAAATAATTGCCCATTCCTACTGTGAGCACATGGCTGTGGTCACCTTGGCATGTGGTGACACAACAGTCAACAACTTATATGGAATGGGAATTGGCTTCCTGGTATTGATCCTGGATTCATTAGCCATCACTGCCTCTTATGTGATGATTTTCAGGGCTGTGATGGGTCTGGCAACACCTGAGGCAAGGCTTAAGACCTTGGGAACATGTGGTTCTCACATATGCGCCATCCTTGTCTTCTATATCCCCATTGCTGTCTCTTCTCTCACCCACCGCTTTGGCCATCATGTACCTCCCCATATCCATATCCTTTTAGCCAACTTTTATCTCCTCATCCCACCGATCCTCAATCCAGTTGTATATGCTGTCCGTACCAAGCAGATCCGAGAAAGACTTCTATATATTCTTAAGGCAGGAGCTCCACCCAGGTGACTCTTCTGCATCTATGGCACATATAGATGTTTAGTGGAAAGGTGATATAGAGGAAAAGGCTCTCACTGGGAAAGCCCATGCAGTCCCTGGGTCTTACATGATCTGTAGATGGGAGTCTCAGAGAAATGCTAGTCTATCCTGTTTGATCATGGGTTTTCTGCGCAGTGAAGGCCCAATAGGAGAATGTGGCAAGGGAAACCCAGGACATGGGTTGTGTATTACCAAATTCCTTCCCCTGCCTATTTTACTTTGTAAAATTACACACAAGAATGCATACCACAGAGAAGTAAGATCATTTCTATCCTTGACTCTTGGTAAAGAACTTCTAATGTCACTTTGAGTGTGTTAGAAAGCAAAATTTCTAGAAATTAGAATTATACTCCAACACCTACTTCAAGATAGTCTACGATGCTATTAGTAAGGGTCTGGGCACTTACGACTGTGGTGTTCAGCTGTCGCGGTCCTTTTGACTTGCCCCAGGAAAAGATGGAGAAATACATGAGGGATTTTAATCTAATGGAACTGAAGGCCTCAAACCAGATTATGCCTCAATTTCAATAGGCAAAAGCCATATCTCCTCCTAATAGGAAAGGGGAAAGAAAGGATGAGTGCTGGGAAATTTCATTTCCGAGATTCTGAATGGCACATCTGAGAAACAGTGATGGAATGCAACAAAGGAAAGAACGTAATGGCACAAGGATTGACATCAACAGGTTGACCTACAGGAAACAGAGGTGGTTTCATTGGGTAATTTTTGCCTTCTGGGCAGGAAGCCCATGTTGGACTTCCAGACCAGTGCCACTCGTGTAGTGTCACCACTCATCTGTCAATGCAAGCTTGCATTTCGCTATTATGCTGAACAAGTTTCCACAAAATGTGCAGCCTAAGAAAGGCAGAAGGACCTGATGATCTACTTCCAAAAGTCCAACGAGACTCCATGGGATCCCAACCACCTGCTCTGCAGGCAATCCCAGGGATGGAAGAGGACCCAGTCGTGATTCATTCTGTGGTGGATGGAGGCCACAGCAGCTAACAACGATATTAACTTAGAAGGTGGTAGTATGTAAAGTTTTGTAAGCTTCTGATACGTCCGGGATACGCAAAGAAGAAACAAGCAAAGGACCGCGACTACAATGGCACTGAATGTATAATATCATCCCCTTGGGTGTTTGAGTTGGTGTCAGAGGAAATCATGAGTACAGAGGTGGGAAACAAGGTAAAGGTGGCTTTTGCCACATCCTTCCCTCTAAGATAGCAGTTCTCAACCTGTGGGTCCTGACCCCTTTGTGGCCCAAATGACCCTTTCACAGGGGTCATCTAAGACCATCACTAAACATAACTGTAACAAAATTACAGTTATGAAGCAGCAACAAAATAATTTTATGGTTGGGGGTTACCACAACATAAGGACTTGCATTAAAGGGTGGCGGCATTAGGGAGGTTGAGGACCATGGCTCTAAGACAACTCCCAAGCTCCCAGCACCTCAACTGACATGAGCTAGAGATCATCTTTCAAGGCTAAATAAAATACAAGGTTGGTATAGATAGACAATGATAGATAGATAAATGTAGATATAAATACAGACATAATCATGGACATAGGCATTGGTTTATAATTTATAAAGAGTAATCTCTTTGGAAACAAAAATGTCACAGGATAAAAGTAGAAGAATTTATTTGTGGAGCATGATATTTGAGGGCTCGTGTGAACAGCAGAGGTGCACTTGTCAGGATGAACACCACAGGACTCCTTCGGTATCTGGTTTTGCAGGAGAAAGAAAAAGAGAGACACACGTGTATATTCCCTTCTCCTATTTTTTTTCACATCCTCATATTTCTTCTCTTTGGTGGGTCTCTAGCTGGGAAGTTGAGAGACATCACACACTGTAATCCTCATTTCCTCTCTGCCGCACAGCAGAAGTGTGTCCGTGAAGCACTGCTGTCGTCATAGCCATGTGTCTTTGTCCTGAGCACAGATCTGTAACATTGTTGATGTTCAATACTATTTTGTGAATGGATTTGTAAATGACGAACTTGCATTCTTATTAAAGATATATAAATACATACATCTACCAAGAAAGGGTTGTATTCTGTGAAAAGAATTGTCAAGGATGTCTTATTCAAAATGCCAATGAGAGAGATTGGGCATAGTATAAACAGATTGAAAAAATAAATAAAAGAATACATAGTCTGGCTTAAATGAAGAAATAGCTTTCCAACAAGCACAGTTGTCTAAAAGGGAACTTGTAGCACTGGGAGACTGTAAGTTCCCCTAATAGGAGCCTTTAGGCAGAAGGTGAATACCATCGGTCAGAGTGAATGAGATAGAAGCTCAGATGCTCACAGTCTTTTCTTACATAAACGATTTTGGAAGAATCATTACATACACAAGAAAAGGTTGGGTCAAGAATATGGCCAAAGAGAGCTCTGGCAAGAAACAACAAAATCCCCAGTTTGAGGCCAGAGGCTACCAGAGAACACAGAGCTATTAACCTGATCAGAAAACTGTGAGTTATAGGACACAATTTTTTCCCATTAAATGAAAAATATCTTTTGATAGCCGGGCACCATCGGCTTTCTTCACTTCGCTGAAGACATATGTGTGCATAAGAAAATGTGGTGAAGAAAGCCGATGGTGCCTGGCTATCAAAAGATATAG